GGTGCCACTGGGTCCTAAAATTCTTAGTCCAGCCGCTTCCTTGGCTAAAGAGTCGGCAATGCGATTACCTTTACTCCTGTCGTGCCCTTTAACCCACATCAGGATAATGTTATTATCTACCGAGGCTTTGGCTAAATCTGGGTGGCACTCTAGTACTAGCCCTGAGGTAACACGTTGCCTGTTCAAGGCTAGTAGGGCTTGTCTACTATCAGTGCAAATTTTTATGTTTTTGCCAGAAATTCCTTTTCTGGTTATTCCTTTCGTGGCGATTGAGATACCAGCCATTTCTGTTTGGACCACTCTGGTATTTTTTTCCATTCCCCACTTAATCCTTAGGCTCAGTGATCTGGAGTAAACTCCACATCCTGAACCTTCTTTGGTTTTTGAGCCGCTGTAGTTGATATAAGTTTTGGATGGCTGTTGCTTGTAGAAATTTCGGTCCCCATGCAATGGCTCCGTACGTTAACACCAGTCTTATTATTGCAGTGTAGATTCAGGTGACCACACGGGGTGAAAGACCTCATGCGCGTCCCACTGTCCTCCGACATTGCTCATAAGCCACGTATGCTCTTTTTGCTCTACTCTGTAGATGAGAGTTCCACGTTAGCTTCCTGTCGAGGATAGTACCAAGGTATTTCCCTCTTCAGAGAAGTTCAGTTTGCTCTTGAAGATTTCGGGAGGTTTTAAGCCCAATAAACTTCTTTTCCTGGTGAAAAGGACCATAGTCTTCTTGAGATTGACAGCGAGTGTTTTATGTCTAATGTTTCTATTAATTTGAGCCCGTTCTGCGCTCTATAGCACCGTATTCTGTTTGACCATTGAAATACATATAGTAAACTATCCATGAAAGATAGACATATGCTATAGCGGATTTGTTTCATAGACTTATAAAATACGAACAACATGGTAGCACCTTGTCAACCAATTCACACAAAACAAACATGAATTATAGACTCGTTATGCACTGTTTAGATCCTTTTAAAACTTCAGTAATATTCATGAATTATAGACATTCATTTTGAATAAACCTTCTATTGATGAAAACCGTTTAAAAATTCCTCCAACAGTTTTTGTGTTGATATAATATGTAATGATTACGGAAATCATTTTCACTTATTGAAAAAACAATTTTCCAGATTTCTGGGGACTAATCTCGAACTTCCTCCACATTCCACATATAAATTTTATTTCAGTTATGAATTTATTGTTGATTTCGGTGGCTTTCAGAGGTTTTCGATCATTGAAGAATGAAGGAAATAATTTTTATCTTCAACACTTTTCTCGATATATGTTTCACTAACCATTCGGTGTCAACTACTGAATAATAATTTGATAACTAATAATTTCAAGAGAGTAATTAATAGAAAAATGAGTGATTGGCTGCTTGAAATAGAATCATGGTAACTGGTAATAGATATCATGTCACGCTTTACTGTTTTCAATTTTCCTGACTATGACATGTTGAATAACACTGGGCTTCTACGGTCCACTAACTTGATTATTTGTTGCGTGTTCTTACAACCCAGTTTTCATAGCTGTTTTGGTCTGACCTACATTCTCATCATATTTCATTGAATATTGTTTACCGCCTAATAGAGTGAGCAGTTTTAAAAATAACTTGAAGAAATATCTCGGTATCTCGGTACAGATAATATTCTGATGGTATCGAATAGGATGATGAAACGCCTGACAGAAAGAGGGAGTAGTTTTATCAAAAATGTATTCTCCACTTACATTCTCAATAGATCAACTTTTCCTGCTCCCACTGGCATGGTTATTGCAAATCCTTTGATTCTGTTGTTGAGAGCAATTTTGGTTTCTAAGTCTGCTAAATGGGAATCGGACACCCTCTTTACCCTGCAAAAAAGATAAAACCCATTTAACAAAATACACATAACGGGTGATTTTTTAAGAGGTATAGGATTTGATTTTCAAAAAAACACAAAAAATTTGAAAAAATTGATGAAATCTCCATTGGAATCGATAGAACGATCAATATAATTTAATATTTGAAGATGATTTCATGCAAATGTTGTCCGCGGCTTTGCTTCAGATGGCCTATGCGCAAGGTCCAATTTCGTGGCACCGTCTTGTTGAAACCACATGTCAGGCATGTCCAATTCTTCCATTTTGCCACATTCAACCAGAAATGAACACAATTTCTCGATAAAAATGTGGATCTTTCTCTAACTTTTCCAGCGCCCATTCACCAAATGTTAGACGTTGTGGGAGGTCGTGTGGCTTCAATTCTTGCACCAGCTGTATCTTATAAGGTTTTACACCCAAATCCTTTCGCAAAATTTTCCACGTAGTGAAGTAACAGAGGCCCAATTGCTGCGAACGGCGGCGAATCGACAATTCACGGTCATCACGAACACTGGCGGATACAGCCGCAATATTTTCTTCGGTTCTGACTCTTCGTATGCGTGTTGGTGGTTTAATGTCCAATAATGTAAAGTGGGTTCGAAATTTAGTCATAAGTTTCCGAATAGCTGCCTCAGTAGGCCGACGAAACTGCCCATAAATTGGGAGAAGTGCACGATGCACTTTCTTCATCGAGCATGACTTGCATGAACAGCGTTGTTCATTCGTAAGTCGATTCATGGTTAAATTATAGACCAAACTGAACAAGCTTGACAATGACACAAGACACGGTTCATTCGTGATCTGTTAAAAACAGTGTTGCCAAAAACATACCAGCAAAAAATCACTCAATATAAGTTTCAGCATTTATTGTATTTTTGTTGATGTCTATCAATCACCAGCAAAGTAGGGATGCATATCTTTTGAATATACCCTTTTAGTGGAAATCCAATCTCTCCAGAGAAGTCATTCAGTGGTACCGTAGCTCAGATTGAAATAATATGGAATTCTCCGCAGATGGTGAATTTTCAGAAGAAACATTCAATTTGTTTTAAAATTGATTTTTTCAATATAAATTCCTTGGAAAAATGAAAAAATTCTGATTTGTGACTATAGTTGTTTCAAAGACTCCTTCTCACGCCCTGTATTCTACTTTCAAGAGTTCATTCCAACTGGCAATTATATTATGTTTTCTCGAGGAGCATCATTTACAAGAGATTACATCTGGACACTTCAATGGCCTGATTTGATTTCGATTGAGCTCGCTTGGGTAATACTTGATCGGAAAGATCAATTGACTATGTTGAACTTGACACTCGTATTTTATTATCAAATCTATGGCAATTCGGAACACATCGGGCTGAGTAGAATGTGAAGAAGAAGATCTAATTATTCAGAATGAAATAATGAAGTACCTCAGGGCCCTTTCGGGAGCTCTGGTTTTTTCATCCGTTACACAATTGATACAACATGTTTTTCGGATATTAAATGATGGACTTAGGCAGGTCATCCCTCATTACCGAATTTTTTGTGAATGATGACTGATGACAAATTATGCAATAAGTATCAACGTCAATATTCTTCAAACGACATTTTTTTGTGTGGGACTCAATATTTAACACTGTTTCTTTGTTTCTACAAGATGAAAAAATAAAAGATGAATCAATAGAGAATCTGCAGAAGTGTAGTAAAGAGGAAAATGAAAAGTTAACCTCAAAAAGTTACTGCGTAATATGAATTACTGGAAAGTCGTATTTATAAATTTTGCCTACAAATTGAGACAGTCAGTCAGTTGAAAAAATTAAATTGATACTTAGCTTTCTTCACCTCACTAATTATTTCTGTACGATGTACTGGTGTAAAGTCAGCACAGGTGGGTGTTTTCTTTTGACAAATGTTTTGGTAGGATATTTCAACTTTTAATTTTGCTTAACTTTCCTTCCAAGTGTTAATTAGTTCATTGCTTGTTTTCATCGCATAGATTATTTTGAAATCCAATGGTGATTATGTCCTAACTACTCTTATTCAATGTATTTTTACTAAAAGAAATGAAAATTATTAAATTCAATACCGGAGTGTGTTGAAATTATGTCAGTTCCCTTTTACAAACTACTTCATAACAATTTATTTAAAATACCCCCCTTTTCCTTACGAATTGCTCAGAATATCATGGATGACATGAGAATGTAGAATTTCTGAGATTTCTCTTTGAAATTCCCGTGCTATGCGTATCTATATCAACTTAGTTGCATTCTCAAAAACCACTCCCAGCAGATTTCGAAGAAATAATAAAAAATATAAACACAATTTACAGCCTTATGGAAATGAAAAGCGAGGGATGAAATATTCATAGATCTGAAAGCTCATATAGGAAGTTGACTTTTTTCGCATTCCGCTTGCATTTGTTTGGAATATCAAATTTTAAAATAACCCGTTTTGCCAAACAAAAGTACTTTTCATGCTCGAAATATCGAAACCCCATTTTATGAATATTTGAATATAGAGTGAGCCGTGACTTCGATTTTTGATACGCGGATGGATAGGCAAGTAATTGAGTTTAACAAATTTGATAGAAAACTTGATTGCAGTTCATTAGTAATTCTAATTCTGGTGGAATCAGTTTAACTTCCGTTATTGGTTGTTAAATAAAGTGGGTAACGTGCATATTTAGTTTCATTTACAAATACATTAGGTGGAAGTTACAATTTCAAGATAATGTTCATAGCAGTTGATAATTTAAAAAAAATGAGCTTAAAACAATAACGAACGAAAAATATCAGTACTGTTGTGAAAAAGGCGACGGGCCCTTGTTATACAAAAAATGTGCCACAAAGCCACAAAGCTTATTCAAAAAAAGTTTTCAACTTTTTAGTTCGATGTTCATTAAAAGCGTGTTTTTTCGTAACCAGTCTCGTTATTTATTTGCCGGATCTCGTAAAAATAAGAGCACTTCGACCGTCGTCCACTTTTTTTGATGCACCGCAGTTGTAGAAGAAATGTAAGCTATAAAAATCTACAGATCTACGGCCAAAAAACTGGAAAATAGCTTTGTCGTAATTGTGAACAGTCTATCATGATGGTGATTTATTACCAAAAATTTGAACCAAGCAATCTTATATATTTCCTGTCATTTCTTGCAATCGTAAAAAACATAATAGAAAATTTCCACCAGTGATTTATGTTCTTCCAATACACTGTCAATTATTGAGTTGTCACTGATTGTAAAAAGAAAAAAGGCAACTTTTAAGAACATCGTGATGTCACCGTCTAGTGGTTGTTTGGAAAACCTAAAAGGTAACCCTCGTACACAGATGTACACTGATTTTCATCAACATCACTTTGAAGTCCGATACACATTCCCAATTAGTCTCGAAGCAAACCGATATCTATATCGTGATGAAACCATTGAAGAGGATAGAAGAGGGAAACCGTCCATGTCAATTCATATTGCTCCACTTCATTTCCAGTAGAGCTTTCTCTTTGAAAAGAAATTTGACTGACTTGAGAATGCTCAGCTGAAAGCATACAATAGCAAGTCGAGTAACCAGTAAGTAGGTGGATATTTGGAAAAGAAGGACATGAAAAATAATTATTGAGAAAATGGTTTGGGGAGTTAGCCTGTACTTAAACTCAAAGATACCCAAATTCTTTTTTCAAGACTGAAAAAGTTGTGCTTTTGTAGCAATTCAGAGTGGGTTGTTCCTATTGGAGAATAAATGCCATCAGTTTATAGGCTTAGTAGCGTCGTTGAATTGCTTCTATTCTATCTATATGATATTTATAAAAGGAGCTCCACACAACTGACGCGTATTCTAACTTTGACCTTATGAAAGTATAGAGCAGAGTTTTCAAGGTCGAAGTTTCTTTGAAATTACTACTGTAACGTGCAATGAATCCGTACAAACGACAGGAGGAGGTTACAACATTATCGATATGCCTATTAAATGATAGCGCGGTGTCAAATGTGACGCCAACATCAGTAAATGTTTCTGGGCTCACCAGGGAAACGTTTTCTATTGAATAATCAAAGATCAAGATGTTCGTTTTTAAACTGTAGGACATGACCCTACATTTATCTGGATTTAGCGACAAGTTATTCCGATAACACCATTCTACAACCCGCCCTACGTTTGCTGAGAGGTTCACACAATCATCTATGTTCTCAACGAGGCACTAGATCATCGGCATACAAAAGGAAATATAAATATATAACATCTGCAATATCATTAATGAAGATATTGAAGAGCAACCGTCCCAGATTTGACCCTTGTGGAACACCGGAAGAAAGTCTAGGGATATTATTTAAAATGGCAATAATTTTTTTAGATCGCTTTAGGGAAAAAAAGTTGACGGATGATTATTAAACGAATGTAACTTACAACAAAATTTATTAAATGGTCAAAAATACTGAGTGCGCATATAAGCAAAACTAAAAAAAATA